CCAGATATGATTACTTATACTTATAACAAATGATCGAGCATCAATGTCCGGTAATTTTTGCTAATCCATTTTTCAATTATTTTTCTCATTTTAACACTTTTCTAGCAATTCTCCTAAAATATTTTTCTAAGAGTAAATGACTGTATATATTTATATAAACTACATATGAAACTTATTTCGTATTATGGATCAGAATTTTAAAAACAGAACATTAAGAGTTATAATTTTTTTTTTTATTAAAATCGAGTGCGATCGGTGCTCCCGAAGTACGTGGGAATACGTAGGTTTACGTCTGACGCAGATACGTGAGAAAAATAGCTACCTATCATTAGATACGTTTACGTGTACGTTTCTGGCATTGCTTTAACTATCTATTTAGTACTTGCACTTAAACGAAATAAACCGTTTCTTTTATTGAATTAAAATTATCTGTAACTTCAAACAATTCATTTCTCACTTCGGATATACATTTTTGCAATTGAATATTAAAGGCGAATAGAAAAATGCCATAATATACAGAGTGTTCCTTAAAAAAACATGGAGGTGGCCATGGGGAGGAGTTGGTGAAAGTAAGAGTATACATGAGCAACAAGAGCAAAAAGACGTCCCCTTTATATGCTTTTTGAATTTTTTTTTTTTTTTTTTTTCATAAAAGCATCACCTTTAAAATTATTTAGGGTAGATAGCTTTCGTTGAAATTTCCTGTTGTACTCCACATCAATTTTCTACCAGTCAACAACCATAATTTAAATAAATTTGTTCCCTCTTAACATTTTTTAATGAAAGAATTCACCGTCTATTCGACATGAAACAATTTCTTATTATTTTTTTTTGTTTTCTTTTTGTTGTTAAACGTAATGTCAAATTCTGAAATGTAAAATGTCACTATTTATTGCCTTTTTTCTTTCTTTCTATTTTTCAATTACTCGTTTTTTCTATGTAAAAACCAAAAAAGAAGCATTTTTATTTATTTTCATTTCGTAACTGGTGACATAATCAACTGTTCGTAATCAGTTGCATAATTTTCTACTATATGCAACTGGTTGCATAAAGTAGATCGTTTTGACACTTGCTGCGATTACAAAATGTTACTTTAAATGTCAAAATTACAAAAATGTTTTTTATATATTTCTAATCGTGCCGGAGGTATTGGATTTTTCACACTAATGAATCTCCCTATATAGATAATATCTTGGTTCCGCTAAATTTCTATGAAACCCCTTTATCTAGGTCCTTAAACTTAAATGTATATGTACATATTATATCAGAAGCGCAGTGTACATTTCGAGTGCATACGGTGTGTAAAGTGCATGTTTTTTGAATAGTTACGCCTAAATTAGTACATAAACTGATATATCTACACAGTTAATCGATGAAATAACCAACTAATATAACGTCATTAAATGAGATCCTATATCGAGTGACACCTCTTTTGGAAGTATTTAGAATGCCTACTAGGCAATAGGTTCATTAGAAAGCGTAATGTTATAAAAAATTATTTAAAATTGTATATTTCATATAAGTTGTAATCAATGCATTAAAAGCAAAATTGTGTTGGTAAATAATCTGATATCTTAAAAACGACATTGGTAAAACCATTTCTCGAGACAGCATGATTATAGACAGTGGAAGAACCTATTACAATTAAAATTTGGAATTTGGAAAAAGTTCAACGAATATTTTTTAAATCAGCTTATTTTTTAAGTGATGGTACCTATCGTATAAGAGACTTTCTCAGAGTTATTATTTAAACCGTAGTCTTTTAAAAGAAGACAAATGTACTCAGTGATGAAAATTGAAACAAACATTTTAAAGTTTATCCCAAAGTCCCAAAGTAGATCTTTTATTACTTGACATTTAAAAAAAAAGTTGAAATCAGTTAATAACTTCAAATTTTACATAGGCGTTTCCAATCTAAATGGGTCACACTGTATATGAACTGAAATCGGTTCTAAGACAATTAATCATGGAGATACTGGTATTGTTCAGCGCGTCGATATGACCTAATGTTTTTACCCTTTAGTAATGAGACCGTACATTTACATGTATGTCAATAAATTGTCACGTTTTTAAAATTTTGATTATTGAGAACTTGTTATCCCTGTACAATAAGGTCATTGACTTATTTTTCTGCTTTTTCAATAAAAGTAAAGGACCAGGCAGCAACGGCTTATGGAGAAATGAGATCAGTTGAAATTTCCTGAATTTTTAGTATGTTGCAGTTTTCTACTTCCCGAACAACTCAATCCTATAACTTTTTGATATTTTGCCATCGGGTGTTACTAACTATTAATTTTTAGTATCTCAAACCATTTTAACATACACAGGGTGGTAATATATTCGACCGACAACGTTCTATCCCAGAGAGCTCTCGTTAATTAATGAATTTTGATACAGGAACATATATTCTTAAAGGGCTTAGTTATCGAGATACCGGGTGTTAAAAGTTTGGAATCAAAATTCAAAATTTGGCATAAATCAAAAACTTTTTTATATTTTTTTTAAAATTTGGTGAAAATATATTCTTTAAGAAAGTAACAATTTAACATAAACTAACTTTTGAAAAATTTAACCATTTATCAAGGTTAGTGGCAATTATTCCCTTTATTTTTTAAGCCACTGGAAAAAATATTTTTTTTAATCTATTAATTTTTAGATGAAAAAAAAGAACCTTTCGTTGAGCTAAAATGAACGGTGTTGCAGAAATTTGCTTCTAAACAAAAGTCTGCATGTACTTAAAACAACTCAATATGTCTAAATTCTAATCGAATACGAGGGCTATCTTTTAAGTTTTGCATACCGTGCATTAGAGGGCGTTACGAATCAAACGGCTCTAATAAAAATAAACTGTCGCCTTTAGTTAACCTCACTTCCAAGTTTCAGTCCGATTCATAGAGTGTTTTAGTTACACCGAAGTTAACAAGTTATTCAAGAAATGGATTTAAACCGAAAACATTTTCGTGCCATAATTTTTTATAACTTTCGAAGACAATTATCTCAACAAGAATGCCTTGCCGAGTTGGTTTCTGTTTTCGGTAGTGATGCACCACATCAATCAACAATTTCTCGTTGGTATGGAGAATTTACATGAGGACGGGTTAATCTTAGTGACGAGCCAAGAACAGGTTCACCTATAGAGAAAGTAAAAGTTGAAAAGTCTTTTGGTAGGTATAGAGGGGGTAAACGTCAAACCACGTCGGGCGGCTCCGAGAATTTCGCAGTAATGTTTACCTGCCAGTGTCGTTTCATAGAATAAGTCATTTTAAATTGTTATCGGCGGAACCGGACAATCACATGTATTTATGGATTATAAATAATTATTAAACATGTATTATAATATTCAAATCATAATTTTACAAAATTTCAACAGCTATTCACAATTTATTAAACTATTTACTCGAAATTGTTATTAACATCTATAAAATAATTTTGTACGCCAATGTATCGCATCCACTTCGGTGAAATCCGCTGCCAACCTGTCAATTTATGTGTATAAAGTGGGAGAACTGGCAAAAGCATTTCCAACTTTTACTTCGGTAGTCACCCAGGAAACCATTGATGATGTGCGCAGGCTCATCTAGGAAGATCGGCATGTGACATATCGCGAGATTGAAGCATCGTTAGGGATTTCAAAGACCTCAATCCAAAAGTTTTGCATGAAAAATTGGGAGTAAAAAATTACTGTCCCGTTGGATACCGCATCTGTTGACCGAAGAAAAAAAAGAAGCTAGGGTAAATTGGTGTCAAAAAACTGGAGCGCTTCAAAGCTGGAAACTCTAAAAACGTGTACTGCATCGCAAGTGGTGATGAATCATGGATTTACTCATATGAACCTGAAAATAAACGCCAATCGTGTGTTTGGGTTTTCCAAGGTGAAGACAAGCCGACAAAAGTGATCCGTTCTCGAAGTGTGTTTAAAAAGATGGTCGTAACATTTGTCTCAAAAGCAGATCATGTTTCAACAATTCCTCTGCAAGAGCAAAGAACTGTTACTGCCGATTGGTATATAACGATTTGTTTGCCAGCATGTCATCGTTAAGCTTTGGAAAACCAACCCCAAACGACAAATCATCCTCCATCAAGTCAATGCAAGTGCGCACACAGCTCGCAAAACAATTGCCTTCTTAGAGCAACAAAACGTCGAGTTGTTAGACCACCCTCCTTACAGTCCCGACCTAAGTCCCAACGATTTTTTTTACCTTTCCGAAAATCAAGAATGCACTGCGTGGGCAACGGTTCCAGTCACCAGAAGATGCAGTTGAAGCATTTAAAACAGCCATTGGAGCTGTGACATCCCTGCTTTCAGAGCTGGTTTGAGCGCATGCAAAAGTGCATTAGTCGTGGAGAATACTTTGAAAAATAATAAAATGTTTAAACACTATCTGCTGTTTTATTCTAGGTCAATCTGCAAAACTTAAAAGACATCCCTCGTAACCACGTATCAAATTTTTAATAGTTCGTATATTTGACAAGGTCTTGGTAGATCAAATTTAAAAAAAATATTTAAAGGACTATCCTGAATTATGGAAAATTTTGAATTTTAATTTAAAACTTTTAACACCCTTTATCTCGGCAACTAAACTCTTTAAGGGTTTATGTTCCTATATCAAACTTCATCAATTAACGAGAGATCTCTGTGGTAGAGTGTTGTCAGTCCAATATACTAAAACCCTGTATATAGTTTATTAACATTATATAGTATGATTCAAAAAATATTAAAAACGAATTAAAATTATTTTTTCCGTTCGTTTTTTTTTTAAAATTTCATCTGTTAAATTGCTTATTTTTTATATATAATTTTCATTAATTTGTTACTCAGTAACTAATAATAATAATAATAATAATTTACATCATAGGTTATACTGGAAATGTTTTGGTAAATATCTGAAGTCTGAAGTCAAAATTTCTCCATAAGCCTGGATCTTTAAAAAAAATCGAGTACATGGCCTTTAAAACTTATAATTGACCTTTTATTTTAAGTTGAATCACTAATTTTACAGGAACGACTTTTAGAACAGGAAACGAAGATCAGACAATTGTCGTAATGGGGATATTAGCTAGATACTCGGTAGATATAATCCCCGTCCTTCGGACTCTAGTTGATATAAATATCGACAAGCTAAGATTAGACGAATTTGTTAATGTTAAAAACCTAAAAATTCTTTACACGTCTAACCCTGATGATATATCAATCAGTCCTTCAAGACAAGAGATGATTGAAACTTTTTCACGGTAAAGTGACAGGTGTTAACAAATTAAAAATCGCAAAGGTTATAATATAATAATTATTTATCTAAATTTGCTTTCATTGTGTGTAAATATACAAATCATATGTGTATACCAGAGCAGGAACAGATTCCTTTTCAATAAACGTAAATATTTTATTTTATGTAATTGTCTTGTTATGGACACTGAAGGACAGTAGGTTTTTTACCAGAGCTCTTCATTTATCATCAACCATTATTCATAACTGCCCAGAGAGAATTCAATTATAAATTTAATATCAATCTGAGAAAAAATTACTTTATCTGATTATTATTGTATCATTGAATGTATGAATTTTAAATGTTCAAAGCACAAACTATCGAAATAGAGGTAAACGATTGGAAGGTGGCAATTACCCAGATATTTGTGGACTTGTTTTTAATGTAGCTGGGGTATTTTCCAAATGTCTAGAAAATTTTCTTACATAAATACGGACCTTGAACAAATAATTATATTATTTTTGTTCTGAAGGTTTTCTTCATTATTTAAGATCTCTTTAGATAGGAAGTAAAAACATGTAGTTTTTACATTTTGTATTAATAAAGTGGACGCGAGGAATTTTTTAAGATGTCGTGCAGGATTAATAACCATATATAAAAAGAGGTGATCTTACCGAGGCTGGTTTCAATCACTCTTTTTGGCGTGGAATGTGGTTACAAGAGGTGTAACATACCTTGACAGGCTGATGTTTCTTCTCTGCTTGATTTTATGGAATAAATAAAGTCAGAGATTATAGTTTCAAATAACATTTTATTTATAACAAAAATAAAAGGCTGGATGGACAAAATCCAAGATTTAAGAGAGCACATTCATGATTATTAACATTAGAAAGAGCTAGAGGAAGAAACACTAAGGCTCTAGCCGAATTTTGTTATTTGGAGAAGGGGATTACAGGAATTGAGACATTTTTTTGTTTGCACCTTTCTGACTTCCCTGCGCGGTTACCCTAATCTGTTTTAAGGTACTACTTTCCCATTCTTTTCGCTCATTCACTCACTAATTCATGTCGGATTTTTATTCCAGATCTCTAATATTGGTATTCTTTCTTAGCTTAATTCGTAATGCAATTGGTATGGCTACAAAGTATCTTCAGTACTTTTAAAATCTAGTTTAAGATGGTTCCAGCTCTGGTAAAAGCTACATATTTCATGTAAATATTGAATTAATTTATGTAAATATTGAATTAATTTAATTTATGTAAATATTTGTAAATAACTAATAATTTATTGTTTACGTAAAGAGAAGACAAAACTTAATATACCGTTTTGATATACTTCAAAATTGTTATTTTGTTAAACCAATAACAATTTTATAAATACTTAGTCTATAAAGATCTCTTATATACATTTATTATTAATAATTGAAAAGTTACAATACGGTGTTACGAATCAAAACAATTGAATGTAATTTAATAGTAAATATTTACAGGGTTAACATTTAGAACCGGCCAAGAAACTGGTAGCACGATGTTAAACACAGGGCCAATGACAAGATTTGCAGAAGACTTACTTCCCGTCCTTAAAGTTTTAGTTGGTGAAAACGGTAAAAAACTGAAACTGGACGATTCCATAAAAGTCCAAAACATTAAAATTATCTATATTTTGAATCCCAATGATTCCACTGTCAGTCCCTTTAGGGATAGTTTGAAGAATTGTGTATTACGGTACGATTGGTGTTTCGCTTACAGTGGTTGTTTTTGTTTTTTGTAAGGTTTGTTCGTAGACATTCTACAGCTAGCTGCTAAAAAACTATGTTAGTAAGTTAGAATCTATTATTAACAATATATTATATGAAGCTGAGTCTAATGAAAACCTCAAGCGAGATTTCGTCGGATAAGTATCATGCCTCTGTTTTTTTTTTGTTCATGATTATTGACATTAGAAAGAACTAGAGGAAGAAACACTAAGATTCTGGCCGAATTTTGTTATTACGCTTATTGTGCCACCAGTTTAATATCCTTCTTTCCCATTCTTTTCGCTCATTAACTCACTAATTCGTCTCGGATTTTTATTACTGATCATGATATTGGCATTCTTTCTTAACTTAATTCCTAATGCAATTGGTATGGCTACAAAGTGTCTTCAGTACTTTTAAAATCTAGTTTAAGATGGTTCCAACCCCCGTAAAAGCTACCTATTTCATGTAAATAATGAATTGATATATGTAAATAGCTAATAATTGATTGTTTACATACCTATGTAAAGAGAAAACAAGACTCGATGTAATTGTTATTTTGTTAACCTAATAACAATTTTTATAAATACTTGGCCTATAATGGTCACTTAAAAATAAAATATTATTAATGAACGAATTGAAAAGTTATAATACCATGTCACGAATCAAAACAATTAAACATAATTTAATAGCAAACATTTACAGGGATAACATTTAGAACCGGCCAAGAAGCTGGTAGCACGATGGTAAACACAGGGCCAATGACAAGATTTGCAGAAGACTTACTTCCCGTCCTTAAAGTTTTAGTTGGTGAAAACGGTAAAAAACTGAAACTGAACGATTCCATAAAAGTCCAAAACATTAAAATTACCTATATTTTGAATCCCAAAGATTCCACTGTCAGTCCCTTTAGGGATAGTTTGAAGGATTGTGTATTACGGTACGATTGGTGTCTCGCTTGTAGTAGTTTTTGTTTTCTGTAAAGTTTGTTCGTAGTGACATTTTCTACAGTTAGCCGCTAATAAACTATGTTAGTAAGTTATAATCTATTAACATTATATTATATGAAGCTGAGTCAAATGAAAACCTCAAATTTACCGATCGGACTTTATCTTAGAAGTTGATAGAAATATAATTTTTTAAATGCAGAAAGCTTTAGATGACATATATCAAACCAACAATCGAAACTGCCAACAAAGCATTAGTTAAAAGATGGTACTGCACCAGGGAAGAGGAACGTTTTATCATTAGTTTATGCACCATGAAGGAGTGAAACCCATTGATATCTATCGTGGAATGTAAGCTACAATTAGGCATTCTAAACAAACGGACTGTCTGTGGGAAGGATTGCGACATACGATGTAATATATCTACAATACGTGAATTAATGAATAATGGATTAATTTTAAATATTTTATGTCGAACCCAAACATATATATTTTTTTAAACCGCTTATACATGTTTTAAAATTGGCAGCCTTGGCGACTACTATTTCGAATAAAAATAGCGCCCAAGATGGATGGCTATGTCGCAACCCTCTTAGATATACGAGCCCTTCTCACTGACACATATTGTTTGACAGGTCGTTGGAATGATTAATACAAAAATTCTGTAAACAAGCAAACAATGATAGTACACCTCTTCGCCAAAATCTCAAAAAAAGCGTACACAGCTTTGGGCAGGAATGCTTATGTTGATCCTTTGGTGTCACTGGTACTAGTTTGCCATATAAACCAAAAGGCGCAAATTTCTGAAAACTGGCATTCTTTTGCAGCACATTGCACGAGCCATGAAGTTTGTTTTTACCGCATTCTCTTTATTTCCATGATATTGCGACATACCTTTGGTTCCAAAGAGTTATTAGATGCGAAGAAACTTTAGATCATTGATAAAATGCCCAAAATCATTTTTCTTTGGGTATTCATGTGCTTCCAAAACGGTGGAGGGCGTGCATATCGACATCCCCTTCGAACAAGGTCGTAACTCACGTCCTTTTTAAATTCAGCCACAGGCGTATTCAGCAAAATAAGGTGAATATATCAGTATAAAAAACGTATCTCGATTTACAATGGCTTGGTTGATACTAGTTTGAAAAAGTTGTATTTCAAGTTACGTGCACAATTTTAGCCTTAAAAAGGCAGTAACACGTGCCAGATTCCTCTTTACCTACGTCAAATTTTATAGTTTCGAATAATATGCAGCATATTGAAAGATTGTAAAATGAGTTACAGCCTTCTTGTTTGCATATTTTTTAATGTAGTAGTAAAAAATATATCTACGTATTTCTTATTATATCATGGTTGTATCTGTGAAGTGTTATGTTAATTGTTGTATCTCAATCAAACTCAACTTAATAATTATTTATAAAATTTATAATTCACACTGTGTTTTAATTTTCCTATTTGTTAACTATTGGAGTATTATACACTTTCTCCACAAATATTTAAAAAAAATCTTTTTAGTTTTCTGACGTGTCTGAAAATCACTAAAATTGAGTTACAACCTGGTTCGATGGGCGTGTCGATATTCTAATGGATACTATTGCCACGTTTGAAAAGTACCTTCTGGAGCAGAGTAAAGCTAGTAGATTTTTTAGTCACGTGATCATCGCGTAAATCGAGGTTATGTAGAATAAAAGAACGGCTATAGATTTGTTTGTGTTTCTCGTTTCCGGTTTCCATTAAAATAAACTACCCTTTCTTTTAAATGAAATTTAATCTCTCGTTTCGTGGTTTTTATTGCAAGTTGCAAAATAAAGTTAATTTTTAACTGTGGTATTTTTCGCTTTTTGCTTTCACTAGAAAATAAACCATGTTCTCATTTCTGTCTGACATTTTTTTATAAAAATTTTTGCTCTTTATAACCAGACACTAATAATATGAAGAAGAATAAACTGCGACACAAGAGACAACGAACGACTGTCTGTACATCTCTACAACTTCGACTTTAACTTCAATTGCTTTTTCTTTGTGAGTTACAAAAATTACATTTACTCCGAAAGCTCTAATTCGGAGTAAATAGATCTTACCTGACTTACCAGCTCTGCATTAAAAGACCACAGAGCAGATCCCATCGAGAAGCCACAGATGTATTAAAAGAACGGCTTCGAGTAAAAAGAGCAAAACGAGGTACTTCTCAAACGCAGCATATGTCAGAAAATTAAATACTTTTATTTAAGAACATTTTTTAGGTTTTCATTTAACTCTGCATCATATATTATTTATTACAAACTCTGTCTCTACGAGTTAGAATGATATTCACATAATATTCCAATCAATACGTTGTAAAAAGGGGACTCGTAATGCGATTTTGTTTTTTTTTTTTTTTTTTTTAATTAAAAATGCTGTCGTCTTACCATATGGAAAAACTCACAGCGAAGGGACACGTGTTTAATTCTATATGCGCCCTAAGACAAAAATATGTGACTTCTCTATTGTGTACAATCCATCTAATCAAAAAGTGTTTAAAATATGAATTAAAGAAAATAATTATTTAAAACATTTTTCCATATTTTCAATGCCAACAAAAATGCTGAAAAATTCAAATTTTGCATTTTTCTATTACTGTCCATTTTAGAGATATCATGTATAGAACAAAAATGGTAGAAAATTACATAAGAAACAACTCGTATTCAAAGAATGTTCTTCTCATCATAAAAAAACAGCAATATCCCTTAAAGTAGAAAAACAATCCCCTATAAAGTACTCTCCCTCCAAATGCTATAAATATGCCCAAAATCACAGGATGTAATAGCTTAAGTTTAAAATTTTGTATTTTTCTGTTTATCCGTTTTTGAGTTATCATGGATATAGACAGACAGACACTATCGCCAAAATGGTTTCAGCAAACCCTGAAACGTAAAGATCCGTCAAAAACTCGAGGTCGAAAAAATTATATAATTTCTTATATACAAGGTGTCCCGAAATTAGACGGTCATATTTTAACAGCGTAATCTACATCCTAAAATAGGAGTAAAAGTTCATATAAACATAGGTCTGAAAACGTTTCGTTTTCGAGATACAGGGTGTTACAAGTGAAGTCCTGATGGTACATTTTTGAAAATATTTTCCAAAATTTATTTAATCACCGGTTTTCCAAAGTTAAAAAAAAAATCTGATGTGTCCAACACATGACTTTCCTATCTAGTTATTTATAGGCTTTTACGGTTATTTTGTACAACCTATTGTAGCACCTCTATAAATGTTTAGAAGATACACTAAATATATACATTTTCGACATACATCTAACTCGAAACATTTTTCTATATAGAAAACGAAAATACTGAAAAATTTAAATTTTGCACTTTTCCTACAATTTTTCCATTACAGTCCATTTTAGAAAAAATCATGTATAAACAAAAATTATAGATATCGATATCGCAAACATCTTTTAATTTAACAATTTTCATAAAAATCAGAACTTTGCACATTTTGTCAAATTTTTCGAATACGGACCATTTCAGGAAATTTTGACATAAAGCAAAAATTATAGATAAATAATATTAGAAGTAACTTTTATTTGAACAATTTTCTTCTCCAAACATAAATAACATATATTCCATAAAATATAAAAACGGCCTCCCATAAAGTACCCCCCAGACGTTCCGACTTTGTCCAAAATCTAATCATTTCATTGGACGCTGGAATAAAGCTTAAGTTTAAAATTTGGTGTTTTTCTGTGTATCGGTTCATGAGTTATGGTGGATACAGACACACACACACATCATCGCGAAAATAGTCAAAACGGATTCAGGTGACCTCAAAACGTAAAAATCCGTCGAAAACTCGAGGTCGAAAAAAATCATGATTCCTATACTTTCCTTATATCTGTATACAGATAGGAAAGTAATTAAAACTTCGGATTCCACAGGCCCCCTAATTATTGTTTACACTTTTGAATAAGATCAATAACATCAACTTATGAAATTTTCAAATGCTTTTCTCTTGAAAATGGTGCGTCCTAGTGAGATGCAACAAAAGTAGCTTTATTATAAAAAAAAATTAGTTTTCCAAATTTTATAGTCAAAAATATTAAAAACTGTCAACAAAAAAACTTAGGGCAATTTTACCCTAAGCCCCCCTAATTTACCCACCTATGAAGATGATCAAAAACTAGGGTTTAGTCCATTAAATAGAGCATAAAAAGGTAAGCATTTGTACCAAATTTGACTTAGTTGTCTTTAAATGTTTAGAAAATATTTACAAAAGTGGGTCATCAGAACTTCACTTTTAACACCCTGTATCTCGGAAAAGAAGCGTTTTCGGACCTATGTTTATATGAGCTTTTACTCCTATTTTAGGATGTAGATTACGTTGTTAAAATATGACCGTCTAATTTCGGGACACCCTGTATTATATATTTTATATATTTTTTTAATCGGCATAAAAATCATACTTAATATGTATTATTAGGTAATGAAAAATATACTTTAAATGTTTTTCCTATATAAGTATATATTGCACATTCATTGAAATCAATATAAACAACACAATATGCCCCAGTTACCTTTATTTTTATTTCTACATAAAACGTTTAATGCTGAATGAATATTAATAATACAAAGTGAAATTAAAGTAGACAGTTTTATAACAAATAAATTTGTTGGTATGCATTTTTGCCGTAGAATGAACTATTCAAGAGTTTTACAAAAAAAAAATAAGTAATAATTAAATTAACGTTAACAAAAATAATTTTGACAAAAAATGTGAGCAATTTCAATGACCACAAAAACAAAGTATGGCGCGCTGACTCGGCCACATTAAGTTTTGAAAAAAAAAACTGGAAATGTAATAATAGTTTATAAAATATAGAATTAAACGTGTTTCCCTTCATTGTGAGTTTTCTAATTCAGCGATAATTACGTTATTCTGAATTTAAACTCACAAAATTTATAAATTTGTTAAAAAATCGTATGTGGTATTTTTCGTAAAAAAAAGTACG